TATTATGTCAAATCTAAATGTTAGCCCTTTCAAAGTTCGCTTTGTTTATAACGTGTTATACGGTAAGTATTTAGCGCGGAGGAAAAAAATTGCACCTCAACTATTTTCGCTACAGGGCCACCTTAACGCGGTGGTCATTGACCTATAGTTGCACGGTAGCATACGTGCGATTTGTCGATAGATGAGCGATAAACAGGCTCTCGGGCCACACGCATCGACACCCGAAAACCGTAACAAGGTCATTTATATCGATATTATTAGTCTAATGGCCATTGACAGCCTTAACACGGCTTAATGCGATGATTAACGAAGAAGTACGAAGGCGCACGAAGCGGCACACAAGCGCACCACGCACTAACAGCAGCGTGTCGGCACAGTGTTATATTCGGGTTCTGTTCGAGTGTTATGGCGTTGTTGTAGGAAAACGCCTAGTGTGAAAGAGAGACACCGACGAAAGGGACGGCCTCAGTCGCGAGGTGCATCATGGAAGGTGTAAAAGACGAAACACGAAAGTGACGCGTGTTTCAGTGCAGCGGTGCACTACGAATAACAGTTTTATCGATGACACCTAATTTTCTAATACTTTCTCGTATTAATGACATTAAAATTACTTACAGTGACACCCGAATTATTAATAAAGAATGGTCTACATTAAGCGTGCTCTTTATTAAGCTAATCGAAGATGTTAGAAATTTATATTATTACCTTTTGAAACATAAATGGTGATTCAATGTAAATATTATTACCAGCGCATTTACTGTTTATTAATATTTCATTAATAACACTCATTGAAAAGAAAGGAGGTCCGATCAACGAAAGTGGTTCTGGTTACGGCATTGAGTTGTACTGAAAGGAATTAATTTCGAACTAACGAAATAAAAAATAACAAAACTGTAGTGTATACATTTATACATAACCAAATATATTGGCTAGATATGATAACCGTATCACTTATTTTTAGTAAACTAAAAACATTAAAAAACAAGAAAATTCTTCGAAACTATGAAACGTACTATCTATATCGATAGCGAAGCTATTCAAAACGGTACATCACTAAAGGTCACGGCCCAAACGCCGCCTCGAAAACGGGTTCCTTGCGGATACATCGACGACGACTAAATAATAATAATATCCAACTTGCCGCCGAGAAAAATAAAGTGTCCGTACAATGGAAATAAAAGCAAACTCGCACACCTCTCGCGGGGGCCTTTTTTGAAGGCAGAGGTTGGAAACTTGAAAGGGCGAGTGAATCGTTTGCCATTGACTGAGGGAGGGAATTAAAAAAAAGTGGAGTATATTCGAAAAAAAAGGAAGTGCGCGCGATCCGCACAATTCTGTAATGAGAAGGATAGCTGAATGGTTTGAATTCATAATGGATGTAGTTTTGAAAAGGGCAGTTTTGGAGTCCAGCTTTTGATCTGGTCAGAGCGGGCACTACAGTAGCATCTTTTCATTTAATACCTTTGAATGAATGACTACGCGTTATCGTGTTAAAGGATGAAAAAGGCGCGACCTAGTTGCATTATCTTGTAGCGGCCGCAGAATTTTTTAATTTTTTATTTTCCTCTATAATATTTTTTATAATTTCTTTCTACCACAATATTCAGTGGTAAGCCCATTTTCTATAATCTGCGGAGTTTTATTGGTTAGTGAAATACAAACCTATCGTAAGGCAGAATATCATTCACATCAGACTGTAGTGAAGTTCACCTTAATATGGTTTATTACCTGGAGAGAGAATAGAGATCATCCGGTTTGAGTGGGGCCGTGTTTGGAAGAGGAAAGTGCGTCGACATTCTCCGGAAGACGGAATACCACATTTTTTTATGTGAGAAGTTGCCAAGCGATTTACCTGGTGTCACGTGATACCCGCCGCCCATGGACATTAGCAATACCCGTAGAGTTGCATATGCGTTGGCGCCTTTCAATAAAGTGGGGCCCGGCTACCCCACCCACCAGATGAAACGCAGAAATATTACACTTCGACTTCACGCCGTCCTTCTGTGAAGTCGTTGTACTTTCGTGCAACAGCCGAAGCTACCACGTGGCTGTACCACATGACCAAAGGCGACAGAACGGTTACGAAGAACGATAAAGAAATATGGCATCAACTTATAAAGCATGTACGTGTGATTATACAAATCATAGTAAGGTTTTACTATGTGGTTATACTATTATACTATGGGTTTTGTAAATATGGAGAAAATAATGTAGAGCAATTTATGGTTAATTGCATTTTAGTGCCAGTCTGCACTTAATACGAAACTTAAAATAAGGATTCTTTGTGGACGAGAACGAGAGCGTGCCTAAGAATTAGACGTAAACATATATGTATATATACATATATATACACATATATATATGTATATATATATATATATATATATATATACATAGGCAGTCGGGTAAAAAGGACATGTTATCTTTGTATTTTCTTTCAGAAACAATTTAGTTTTATATATCAAATTAGCGACCCGCCCCGGCTTCGCACGGATGCATATTATACATAAAAACCTTCCTCTTGAATCATTCTTTCTAGTAAAAAAACCGCATCCAGATCCGTTGCGTAGCTTTAAATATCTAAGCATACATAGCGACAGACCGATAGCCGACTTGATTTTATACTATCTTGTGATGTGTCACTATTGAGGGTCAGTTCAGGTACTAAACAGTTCCAGGGTTTTGTAAAACAATAAAAGTCCTAAGACACATGAATATTATGACATTAAATCATATCCAATACGATGTTCCTATTGACGACCAAACAATGGATAGATATGTGTCCAAGTTTGTAGTAACGCCTACTGTATTGGCACTATTTTAATAACAGAAAATAATACATCCATTTTCCAAATCACAATGGTAATTTATAAAATTGTACAATCATAGACGCTTTGTTATAATATATAAGTTTATTAAAAGATTAAACATTTTTTTGCTTTAGTCTCAATCACCTAATCAATGTCAGCAGGTACGAAAATAACCTTTTTTATCTATCTTCACCTCAGCTTTTTACCTTTCAGACCTATTATGGGCATAAAATTAACATTATACCCACTTATCCTCCCGTTTGTATAGCTTACATTATCATACGCCGTAATACCTATGTAAAGATCGTATACGATGAATATATAATACATGACGAGAATCGTCCTAAATTTTTTTATTTTAGGATTTTTTTTAATTTTAATTAATTTTTTTATTTAATTCTAATTCTTTTTATTTTAGGACGATCTTCGGAAAAAAATCCTCTAATTTTTATTTATTTTAGGACGATCATCAATTCAATCCGTAACGTACGTTTATTTTAGGACGATCATCTTTTAGAAATTCAATCCGTAACGTACGACAAACCTATAACAATATATTTATTTTCATTTAATAAAAACAAGTTATTGTGGTGAAGGTTTGGTGAGCTTGGAGAATGTTCCAGCGAGACAATTATGAAATATTAGTATAATATTTAGTTCGTTTTAATTGCATTGTCCGTTTTAATTGTATCTTCATTACGCTTTGAATATTAGCACCGCTTAAACCTCTGGAAACGGTATTAAATTTTAACAGACATTACTTATGTTACACATTTTTGAAAAACCTCGAGTGTGTCATGTAGCCTACTTGTTGCTTATGGCTTTAATTATTAATTTACCAAATGAATTTGGTTTGATGCCCATTCAAGGTGTATTGTAGCAAAGTTTACCTCTTTAATCTCTGACAGGGTGTAAACAGATGGCTGGTGCTGTCACTAACATAACCTACCATGCATGTATTTTCTCAAGTCTCAGAACAAAAGTATCTAAATACAAGGCACTCACACTTTTGTTCTGGCTGGAATTCTAAATTATACTGAATAATTAAAAATGTTACGAAGCTTAAAATGTCATAGCAATAACTTGCTTTGTACATTAATTAAATGAACATAATCATGAAAAACTTTCAAACAATGTTAACCTTTGTTAATTTACTTCATTTTTAAAATGTGTACGCTACATGAGGGTCGTAAAAATTCACCCGGCAGCCTAAAAACCTGAAACGACGCGACGTCTAATCGATGTCAATATATTGACACACGGGATATATCTTTCTTTATAACATGTCCATTTGATTTACAATATATCTCGTAATTGTTTTACTAACAAACAGCTTTTTTATAAAGGGTTAGTGCCAACTGCTATTCCACCCGAAAGTAAGTCACGATGCAGCCGCAGTTACAGATGGTTAATGCACTGAATCAGTAGAATATGCTATGCACTCTTGCCTTGAAAAAAACCCCGTTATATTCAGATTAAGCAGCTTTAGTTATATTAGTTTTTCGCAATATGTAACTTAATTTATGTTATGCAATTTAATTCATGTGTAGTTTTAATTTTTATATCTATTATTTTACTACGTTATTATTAATTTTAATGTTATTGTGGCTAATCATTGAAAACTTAGAAAATATGACATATATTTTAATTGTGCTATTGTTATTTATTGTTATTTTCATCATTTTTTTTTTCTATTTTGGTTAATTTTGTTATCAGTGTAGTTCATGTTTTATTTATTCTTTACGCAATTATTTAATTTAATCCTTTTGATTTTATACCGTCTAAGTATTTTAATGTGTATAAAATCTCATTTTTATTGACAAATTATGATGCATGATGTGGTTACCTGTAATTGTAAGAACAGTTCGATATATATCTCAAGCTTGTATAAATATTATATATATTATATATATATTATATATATAACATAGACTATAGCGCTGTATCTTGCGTTGGTAATCCAATAAATAAATAAATATATATTGCTGACTTAAATGTAATGGTTAATTTTAATTGCTGACTTATCACATGCTCAGTGGTGAAGAAAAAACCGAGAAACCTCTATGTACTTCACATGAAGTCCACCAATCTACAGTGTTGTCGCGTGGTGGACTATGCCCTGTATAGAAGAGACCATTAACCAACAGTGTGACTCATATAGGGTGTTACTTAATTTTTTTTATATATTCAGACGGAGGGCAGTTGATCATATTCCCCACTCCCGAGGTCATATTCTGAAAAATTAGAGTCATGGTCAACATCGTCTTCTTTAAACTGAAAAGACACGCCTGAGTTATAGTCATAAGATTGGCATCGCCCCATTTAGAGAGTGCAAGGTGAGATCAGGCACTACCATTGCCTCCCTCCTAATTCGCTCATCTCGATTAACTGTGGCTATACTATATCATTATAGGAGTACATTAAAATAGAAATAGTTATGAAGGCAATAAAGGATTACCTATAAAATTAGTCTGGCTTTCCGCACGATAAATTAAACGAACTTCATACAGAGTATATTTATACATACATAGTTTTATATGGGTATTTAATCTATCACCTGTTTTCCGTCGTATATTAAATATTAAATAAAAAGTAACCTTTGAGTTTTACCATCGTGAGTTGAGTGAGTAATAAAACCAATCTCTACTTTATAAATAAGCTGTGCTTTATAGTTTCGTACGTAAAGAATAAATATTTACAATATAACAAAAAAAACGTTCTTTTTCCCTGTTTGTGTCTTGATCATTTCTGTTTCCATATATGGACACGACAAAACGAGAAGTTAATCGATAATATTACAACCATTCGCCGCCTACATGTCACCCAAAAAGGGTAAAGTCGTTACCGTGAGGATTTCATATATGTTGGTAAGTATTTTAACCAATTCACCGCGTAAGCTTCCACAATCATATAAATGAGTTTTATTGTCACTTACACTCCACTGGACCAGTAAGGGACTCATTAGGATGCACAAATTGCATCAATAAACTTTAAAGTATTATTTAAAAGACGCCATTTCACTTCCGAGCGGCCATTTTGTTAAATCTCGTGCGTGTAATAACGAAATAAAGCGACGTGGAGAGGGGAGTAAGTTTTTACGTACAAAACCGACGTCCGAAACAGATAAGAATGCGAAAAAGAGTTTTAAAAAATATTATATTCATGGAAATAAGAATAAAAGATCGCCTACATGCGCCTTACACGGGTAGCGGCAACCGCAGAGAACCTTAGGGCTGCGTTGCATAAATATTTTACCAAGGAACTATTGTTTTGTTCGTGTCTATTCCAACATGAAAAATCAGGGACACAATTCAGATGTAGAAATATATATATAAGTATGTATGTATTTGTATATGTATGTATATTTAGAAATATAATATATATATATATATATATATATATATATATATATAAATATATATAGTTTGTGTGATAAATATGTTTAACGAGATTCTTATAAATTATGCTTACTGTGCTAACGAGTCCAGATGACACTGATGACAAAGGGAAAAAAATTAAAATTTGTGTATTATTTTAAAATATGATCTAGTCATAATCATTAAAGTAATTCTATCATATGGATATTTATTCATAAGTTTTTTCGATTGAGATTCATAAATTAAATGTAACAGTAGATGCGCCTTGTACTTTTCTATAAACATATCAAAAGCGATAGATATAAGCAACAACTTTATATTTTTGTCAAACATGGATTCTTTCTCTATTTGAAAGTTTCGTAGTATGAAATTACTCTACAAAATAGTATGTATTAAATTCAGACGTGTATATTAAAGTAACATCCTAGAAGAGCCAACCAAAAGCTCTAGAATTTTATATTAATTCTAGAGCTTTTGGTTGTTAATAAAGAGCAGTGTAAGTTAAGCCCAAAAATAGTTGACACAGCCCTACGTCGTACATCATACAGGGCATATCGCACAGCGCGAAAGCTTGTCGGCATTCATACACCGTTCACTCACGAACGATGATTCTTGTTCCGAACACATCAAATCGGTGTACAGATTAAATAAAATCGTAAAGCTTAATACGCTGATAACGTTTTGATTGAATCGAATTATTAACACTCGCCCGCGCTTGCGTTTTATTCGATCGTAATATCAACACGATAAAAATGAATGGATTGCTTACGAAATTTTCAATGAACCTTTCGACTTGTTCAACAGAATGTATGGTACTTTGCTATGAAGAATAAAAATTATCGAGTATTGTTTTGTGTTATAATAGTATATTGCGTTATGTTAGATACCTAATTTATTTTTTTCTGCAGGGGGGGGGGGGAATAGGATTCCGAAGAAAATACGCTTGCGGTATGCCCAACGGGAACGAGACAGGGTCCTGGTTAACTGAATCGGATTTCCTTTGGTATCAGCGATGCAATTCTCAGGCTGAAGTGCTGTAGACTCCTGAGATCTTTCTAACGCTTTTTGTCAAAACCCATCGGGATAACGGGACTTTTGAGTTAGCAGGCGATCGGTTTAGGGGTCCTCCATGAGTACTATAGCAATCCTGAGCAGGATAACAATAAAAAAAATGTCTCGGTCCTCATCGCGTTCGTCTCCCCCCATTATGGTGTGTTACGTTTACTCCCAGACCAGATAAATATTGGGAAAATAAAAGCGTGGCTATCAATTATTATCGGCAAGCATTAATTTACTCTAGTAGAGCCGCGCATTAGCTTGCCGTTGCACGAATGGGCAGGCAGTTTTTGGAAGTACCCCGGCCCCACAGACCAGCTTGAAGTAATATACTTTCGCGTTTAGTCTATTGAGTGAGGTAACTAGGGATCACTTTTTATAGGTTGTCAATACATTTGCAAGCCTTCAGGTGTTGAAGATATCCATGAGCGACGGTAATTATTTCATTAGGTAATTACTTAACATAAGTTGAAACACCTGCTCACTTGACAGCTTTTCACTTAAAAAAAATACTCTTGAATTTTGAAATTTCCTTACTGTTTTGTTCCTTAATTTCCTCTGGTATTGGCATTTTAAAAAAGGAAACAGCTGACGCTGTTGCTTTTTGCTGGATTACAGCGACGATTCTGTTTTTTTATTATGTTTTATAAATAATATTGCAACAACTGCCCAAACCTTTTATAAAAGATTTTTAATATTAGACCATAATTACAACAGCGTTTTTAAAAAAACAATCACATCATATGTAATTGTTTTATCCCTACTTCTCTACTTATATTATAAAATATGTGAATGTAAGTTTGTTTGTTACGCTTTTACGCCAAAACTACTCAACCGATTATTAGAGCTATTAAAAAGGATATAGGATTTTTTATATTAAAAAAAAATATGTATTTTTTTATGAAATTCAACTCGGGCGGAGCCGCGTGGGAAAAACTAGTATTTAATATAATTATATCAGAAGAAAACAGTTTAAATACACTTCCAAAGCATGAAAACTTTTTATTTCTTTAAACATATTTTTCATCATAGTTACGGGACTAATTTAATATTTCATTTGAATACAACAGACAATTAAGGCCAGTCTCTTTTTATTAAATCTGAACCCTTTTCGGCTATCATTATAACTGGAGCCATTGTGTTCCCCCTAATAATACTAGGCATTACGCTTGCATCGATCACTCTCAAGTTATTCACAAATCTAACCTTTAAATGTTCATCTACCACAGCTTTGGGGTCTTCTTTAGTCCACATTCTATTTGTCCCTACGGCATGGTACAAAGTTCCAGTTAACTGCTTTGCAATGCATTTTAAGAATTCGTCTTCGTTTTCGTCAAAAGTAGAGCATGCTGGTATTTTGATCCAATGAAGTTTAAGACCATTATTCTTAAAAGCTGTTGTGTTCTCTAGTTTCATACAATGTTTCATACCACGAACGAGTGTATCCAAATCATCGTCATTAGTTAGATAATTTGCCTCAATTTTAGCGTTCTTGTCAATTTCGTTCAATTTTATGAAACCTCGCGACTGGGGTCTAAGCAGAGTAACATATACCATAACGATGAGGTTTTCTTTATTTAAATCATTGAAAGCGTCGTTAAATTCACTGGATAATGCATGCTTGCCGAAAATATCAACAGAATTCGACTGATTTGGGTATGCGATAATGAAATGATTCTGTATATCTGGTGTCGTCGAATTCGAGTCGGTTGTATTGATAAAGGAAACCACTCTATGCGGGCTCAAACTGCTAAATGGGCCTTTTTGTTCAGTAATGTATTCGTAATATGCTTTGAATATGTGTTCTAGCAAATTTGAACCATCAGAACTTCGCTTCTTAAATAGAATCGGTGCATAAATGTGATCTTGCAGGTTTTCGCCAATAGGCAGGGTAGTTTTTATATCATTTGCCTCATCACTATTTATATTATCGTTGCTATTGGATCCTAGTCCAGAATTTAGGAGAATAAGAGGAGAGTTGATTGTTCCAGCGGACAATATAATTTCTTTGGTAGCAAAAAAAGAGTTACTTTGTCCATTTTGTGATATAACGTTTACGCCTTTCGCTGTATTATTTTGAAATATAACTCGATCTACATAAACATTCGTAAGCACATGTAAATTAGACCGATCTTTTATAGGTTTCAAAAAAGCATTACTCGTGCTTTGCCTCGTTCCGTTCCTTAATGTTGTAAACGCTATTCCTACACCCATTTGGGTGGGTCCATTTAAATCCTTTACGAATCGACTGCCTAGTTCTTCATTGGCATCAATTAAAACTTGCTCTAATGGATTAACCCTTGGCTGGTATTCCACGTTGAGGCTGCCATCGAAACCGTGATATTTCGTATCAATAACGTTTTTATCGTTAATGACATTCAAATTTTCACTTTTCTTGTAATATTCCATCACTGATTCGTAACTCCAGTCGGGGGTTGGCCATTCATCGTAATCACGTTTATTACCTCTCATGTAAAACATTCCATTAATGCTACTAGTTCCACCTAAAACTTTTCCTCTTGGCCAATAGCACTTTTGATTCTCATAATTGAGACAAGAATACTTTTGCGGTTCAGTTCTAAAATTCCAGTCCACATTCGTTCCATAGTTGTTAACATATAGTGCTGGAATCTGTAATATTTAATTATTTATTTATTTATTTAAAGTACAACCACATCATATATATTGGACATTTACATAGTTGATTTGATTATAATTAACATTTAAGATTTTAACAAAGGTTAATTACAGATGTTCATAAAATGAAAATAAAACGCTGGAATTGTTTGTTTCTGTTAAATTGTAAGACTCGTATTAAAAAATCAACTTTTAAAATTATATTATGTCATGCCATCTCCACTAAAAACCAAATTTCGTGTTAGTCAGCTCTATACATTACTTCTGTTCCCAAATTTGGATTGCCACCGGCTTCCAAAAGTAAAATGGACCAATTAGCTTTTTCGGAGAGTCGATTTGCAACAACAGCGCCCGCTGTACCACCTCCGACAATGATAAAATCATAAGTTGTCTCTGAAAATAAAATATTATTTTTTTTAATGTGAAAAAGTGGCAAACGAGCTGGCGGTTCATCTGATGTTAAGTGTTAGCCGCCGCCCATGGACATTAGCAACACCCGTAGGGTAGCAAATGCGTTGCCTCCATTAAGTAAAGTGGGCCCCGGCTATCTCACTCACCAGACGAAACGCAGAAGTGTAATACTTCTACTTCGTACGGTGGTAGGGCCACGCAGCAGCCTCGGCTGTTGCACGAATGGGCAGGCCCGTCCGGATAAGTACCACGACCTCACAGAAGACCAGCGTAAAGTGGAAGTATGACAAATATTTTCGCATTTCGTCTGGTGAGTGAGGTAGCCGGAGCCCAATTTTCAAAAGGTTGTCAACACATCTGTGACCCTTGGGTGTAGCAGATGTCCATGGGCGGCGGCATTCACTCACCGTTAGGTGAACCGTCTGCTCGCTTGGCAACTTTTCACATAAAAAAAAACTTTAAGTCGGTCTTCTGTGAGGTCGTGGTACTTACTCGGGTGGACCTGCCCATTCGTGCAACAGCCGAGGCTGCTGCGTGGCCCTACCACAAATTAATGAATAATAATAATACAAATAACAGAAACAATGTTTTTAAAACAACCACGCGGAGTTTTTCCATTATTTTCTCACGTATACTATAATGGCAATAAAGCACATACGAAATTCCATTTCAGTAGTATCAAAGTTTACTTGTTTTTACTGGATTGTTTACGTCTCTTTCAAATGGGCGAATAATGAATGGAAAAGCGGTAAAACTTCCGGAAAGTTCTATAAAAAACAAAAGCCCGCACCCTTAAACTTTTTTCGCGTCGTTGCTTTGTTACCGAGCGTAATTTACAAAAGTAATCAAGCTTAATTTTTTTAATTTACCTTTTAATTACCTAAAAGTTCTTTACATAAACATATTGTTTTAATTTCTCCTAGTAAGAAAGCCATGTATCTTAATATGTTCTTCCTGTTTATGGTTTATATTTAAAACGATATTTATTCAATTGTGCAAATACCTATATATAGAAAAGGACTTCTTTGTACTATGAAGAACAATGTACAATCACATAATTAGCAGAAGAAAATGTTTTTCAAAGATTAGATTTTTTTTTCTCATCTTAAAGGATTCATCCATATAATCTTTATGTTTCCAAAATATAACCCCTTTCTTTTTTTATTTTTAGTCTATAATATATAGTAAAATGTCAGATTATAAGCCTAGCTTACATTTTATTTAACATCATAACACTGTAAATCTGAGACTACGCACATCTTACGGTAGAAATTGTTAGACATTAAACCGGAAACTTAAAAAATTGTTAATACCTATAACATTTGAGGATTGCCATCGATTTCTCTGAGATGCCATAATCAGATCCGGGTTTCCTTAATCTCCTTTGAAACAAAAAAAAAAAGAATCATCAAAATCGGTTCATAAACAACGTAGTTATCCACGAACAAGTTTCGTTACCACTGACTAGATTAACATGATGATGGGCGGCTTGGAAGGAGGTTACCAAAAATCACCAGAGGATAACAATAGTTTTGTCTGAATCACCATTTCTGGTTTAAATAACCAGCATGGCAACAGCCTAGCGACTTCTAAGGGCATACATAGAATGTAATATCTTACCAGCTGCTTTTATAATATCCGATGGAGTTGGTTCGGGAAATATCGTGGGCGCTAAAAGGCACTGCGCTGCCAAAAAAGCCCTCATTGCGTTGTAAAGAACAGGCCCAGATCCCAAGTAATCCGGTGCCACCGAGGACACCAGTTGAGGGTCACAGGACCATGCCATTCTTGTGTTATTGTGTTAAATACAGACCTGAAAACATATATCATTCATGACAAACGAGGTTCATTATATTAAAAACCCCGGCAACTTATTTTCATAAACGAATGAGACGCAAATTTTTCAAAGAGAGGTACGGCCTCACACGAGATCGATATTCAGTGGAAGTATACGAAGTTTAGAGTCACGATTAGTCTATGAGGCACATAGATTTGTTAGTATTTATAAGCACATAGATTTGTTAGAATATAAAATGTTTGTAATCGATCGAATATAATATAAAAAGTCATTTCAAATTATGAAATATTTTACGCTAAATAAACTAAAGCTAAACTAATATTGGCATAAAATTACACTTTGTTAAAACTATTGAGGACATGATTGCACTATATATAGAAATAATCTAGTAAGTAGATTCAATAAATGTACATTCATGACAAATGAAAAAAAAAGCATACGTTATAATTTTTTACTATGTATCACGTGGCACTTTTATTTTAACAAAACACTTATTTCAATAAACAAGTCTGTGTATGACCTTCGTTTACGACACACGATGTACCTCTATGACACTCGTAAACTCTCTGATCTATAACAACATCGAAGACAATAAACTGGATAACAAAACAAATAAACGATTAAGGAATGGTCCATAATATTGACGATATGTACAACGGACCGCATAAGTGGATAAAAATAGCATATTGTTAATGCACAGACTTGTACAGCGTTTTTAACGTGTATCCTTTTTAGCAAAAATTAATTCGTATTAATACGTATTTTGTATTCTCTTAATACTTTTCAAACACACGGGGTAGACAGCTTATTAGCTATCAGCTATCGCTACGCTGCATCCCATAAGTGGTAGTCTCATATTCTGCAACACAACCAAGTTAGTGAATTTTGCAACTAGGGCAACTTTTTTATTGATTTTCTCATAATTTTAAGGTATTAACGAGACCATGTTTTAGAACAAGAAAAAATAATAATTGAATTTCGTACTATCTAAGTCAACACACGTTTACTTGAAATACTTAAGCTAATATAAGATTCAAGAGTAAAAAAAAGTAAAGTAACAGCCTATACATGTCCCACTGCAGGGCAAAGGCCTCCTCTATATAGAGGGTATCAGGGCATAGTCCACCACGCGGCCCCACTGCGGATTGGTGGACTTCACATATTTTCGAAATATATTTTTTTTTGTTATTATTTCGAAAATATGCAGGTTTCCTCACGATGTTTTCCTTCACCGCGGAGCACGTGATAAGTCAGCACTTAAAGTTAAAACTTCATTGGTGCCGGCACCGGGGATCGAACTCAGGTTGCTCGAGTATATTGAATTAAAGGCGAACGCCCGGACACTGAGCTATCACGGCAAGAGTATAGTAAGTAAAGTCTATTAAGTTTACCAACTTTTCTTCCGTGAAGAGTGTCATTTCGGTAACGTCGTAAAATTAATTATACTGGAGACTTTTTGGGTGCAATCAGTGTTATCTTCCAAACTACTAGTTATATGACGCATGTTTCATAGACATTTTATCTCATTTATAGAGTTAGAACATATCCTTATAGTAATGAGAATTCAACTAGCGGACCCGACAGACTTTGTCCTGTCAATACGACTTAAATCTGACAGCAACTTATATATGGAAAAAATAAAAAAATCGAATATTTAATCTAAATCATTCTCGAATCGACCTGAAAACACACAAAAAATTTCATTAAAATCGGTCCAGCCGTTTAGGAGGTGTTCATTGACATACACATGCACAGAAAAACTATAATTATATATAAAGATGTTGTTTTTTTTTTGCTATTGTAATTTTCCAAGATATTTATTTTCTACAAATAGTGAATCTGTTCGTTTTAAAAATTGAAAAGGCTTCACTACGAGAAACAACAATACGTTGATAAATAGTAATGAGATTTGAGTAATCTTTAACATTGTAATGGAAGCTGCGATTGGCTATCGTTTCGTTTTCCCATTCAGTTTTTTTAGAGTAAAACAGCTCGATTTCCGGATTAGCATAATTTCTTCACTGTAAAAGAGTCTCTAAACCGAGTCAAATCGAATTCGACTCTGCAAAGCTGTGATAGTTTAAAAATAAACGTATTGAAACAGAAGCAACTTGTACCGACATGTGATTTACATTAAAAATCGTATCAGGGGCCCTATAACCTTTCTTTATCTGTATGCATTACTAACAATTGCCTTTTCAACAGCCGATAAGAACTTATTAATACGTAATATATGCCCGTTTAGGTAATTATTCTTAAACATATTTAACTCTTTTAGCACTGTGGCATACGCTTTCCTATTACTATTGTTATTTAACTTTGACGTTAACTGATCTTACATTCCGTTATTATTAAAGTTTTAACGAACTCAGATAACACGTGGCATTGTCTTAGACGGGAGATACCTATATAAACAACTGGCCATCGAGTTTTAGTATGGAATGTCCCCGATGCAGCATAATATTTTATGTTTAACAAGAAAAATTTGGGACTTCTTTACTGCACGTCGCGTCTCAGTATGAAAATAATCTGACAAATGTCGCTCTATCGTCAGGAAATTCTCTACCACTATCCTAGCAGCTATCCTATGTGTTATCGATGCAGTATAATAGGCTTAACTATGCTATTCTTGGGGGATGTGTAATAGAAATCGATTGTTCCACATCGAAGCGTTGAATAAGCCAAGTGCGCCCGAACAATGCTGCCCGTAATGTTGTTCAACCGAATTCTGTTCACTTGAGCAAGCAAATTGACTCAATTTATAGGTTCGAGGTATATGCTGAAGTAAGCTAAGAAATACTTATTTTCAAAATATATTGATAAGTTCAATCAAATATTAAACAATTTCATGATAAGTTAAGACAGCTTATGGACATCTACAACACTTGTAGGCTTGCAGATGAGTTGACAACTTCTAAAAAAGTGGGTACCGGTTGCCTCACCCACCAGGTGGAACACTAAAGTATAATCAACTAATGTAAAAGTAATAAATAGATATAATATAAGTACCTACATATAATTATAAAAAAAACAAAATAAAAAAAAATAAAAGTAAATAATATGAATATGCCTCCCTCAGAGACTGGAGCCTTTATTCAGCAGTGGACTGAAACAGGCTAAAATGATGATGATGATGATGATATAATATGAAAACTAATGTCTTCGTATTGACACATAGGTTGTGGGTTCGATTCCCAATGCTAAATATCAATTAGCTTTTTGTTTGTTTTATGTGTTTTGTGATAAAAAAAGGTCTCATTTCCGTGTCAAGATGAATAGTTTAGTATATTTTGAGACTTAATAAGTACTGTAAAACTAGGATGGCTATATCAGCAGCCATCTCTGCTTCTCCCATTATAGCTAAAACAACTGAGCTAATTATGCAAACTTAATGCTTAAAATTAATGTCGTGTGATATTTGTAATAAGGTAAAACATCTTTATTATATTTCTCGTATGAGCTGATACTGTTTCTACTATGCTATGAGTCGGATAAGTTGGCTTTAAAATGGCTCGTTGTGTATTATAGATAATCCGTATCTTTACCTGTTTAGACATCAGTATGACAGTAATTAAGCAAGTTAATCATTGATAAATCGTGAAACATCCCACAGTACATAATTAATTTTGACAGGCTACCTGATACGTCAACAAGATACAGTGAATTTAGCAACAAGTATTTATACAAGGCACAATTAATAGCATTTCTGCCGACAGTTCTGAAACGTAAAAGTAAAGTAAAGTAAAGTAACAGCCTATACATGTCCCACTGCTGGACAAAGGCCTCCTCTATACAGAGGGTATCAGGGCATAGTCCACCACGCGAGCCAACTGCGGATTGGCGGACTTCACATATCTTCGAAATATATTTTTTTTTTGTTATTATTTCGAAAATATGCGGGTTTCCTCACGATGTTTTCCTTCACCGCGGAGCACGTGATAAGTCAGCACTTAAAGTTAAAAACTTCATTGGTGCCGGCACTGGGGATCGAACTCAGGTTGCTCGAGTATATTGAATTAAAGGTGAGCGCCCGGACACTGAGCTATCACGGCTATGAAACGTAACGCAAACGTATTATTCAATGAATTAATGAATAACGAAATTGAAAATAAATAAAAAACATGTTCAATGGGTTTATGAAACAAAAAGATAAATAAACCTAAATAAAATGATCCTAAAAAAATTATTTAGTTTAGCGTAATAATGTTATCGGCACCTCAGAGAACAAACTATAATACCAAACGCCGTGTAAATATTCATAATCAAAAGTGATTAACACATGTTGGAGTTCAAAACAGACACTTGATTTTCGACGCTCCTACGCTGGTGAACTAAATGTTTTCAGCCGTAATTACAGTAAGGACGACGAGAAAATAAAATGTTATTTTTAACAAACTAAAAGATAATTTTATTACAGCAACATTATAAATATACCAAGTATAGTTTCCTAAAAATAAGGTAACTTTATAGTTCCGTTGTGGCTATAATGGCAAAATATGTTCTGAATTAGTATATACGTTGTGAAATCACTTTGTTTTTGTGCTAAGCTACTGAGTAATATTTGATATAAATTGAATCGCATGGACATTAATTATACCTCGTCCCGAAAACGCCGAATAACTAATAAAAAAGACGTCAACTGACCGAAGTGGGGGATGTTGCCATGGTAGGAGGGTCGACCAGTTTAAAAAATGACGTAGCAATTATTAGCACCGAGCTCGAAGACATTGTCGCGGGATAAAGCAACGTGCGACCCATTGTTTCGTTGAACGCTGTACCGAGCTTCGCTACAAGTAAACTTGTCCCTAGTTATATGAATTTACCCCTTATGTATGGGCACGTGTCCATTTTCGCGCTGTTGCCGTCATAATTGACATAGCCGTAAAACTTCGGTCCAATCTATGATTCAGCTATTAATTAAAGTCAATGGATATACGAGTTATGAAATAGGACGTATATTTGTCTGCCTGACTTTGTGTCCGTTTATG